CTCAAAAAAAAAAAAAAAAAGAAAAAAGAAAAAAAAAAGGCATTTCTAACTCTGTTTACTGAAAAGGCTTAGAAGCAGTGACAGTAGTATATCATTTAGTATCTCCAGTGCCCAAGTTGTGGTCTTAACTATTCCCCACTAAAAGGAACCAGGGCTTTTTAGAGAAATGGCTGATTATAGGTCTGGGGCAGGAAATAAACAAGATACACCTAGGACATGGTGTGCTGAAAACTGAGGAACTTAACAAAAGCTAATGGAGCTGTGTCAGAAGGACTGAGGAGCCAATTTGGAAGGGTTCTCAGGGCTTGAGATAGAAAAATTTGAGCATCAAAAAACCATAAGCTGGGCATGGTGGTGCCTGTGTATTCCCAGCTACTCAGGAAGCTGAGGCAGGAGGATCACTTGAGTCCAATAAATGGAAAACATCGAGTACATAAAAATTCATGTATTTGAAATAATTTTAAAAGAAAGTGGAACTCATTGGTCATGATTTTGGGTTGTTAGGGGAGTAACTCAATTCTTTAAAAATTAATGAAGGCAAAAAAATAAGCATTTTCCCCACCTTTCCCGTATAAACTGTTAACTCCAAGAAAGCAGAGGGTTAACAAGAGAGAAGGCTTCTTTATAGAAGAATTCCAATTAATAAATACAGAAGGAATACTAGAATTAGAAAATTGCTGTTTTGCCACCCCTAATGAGGACATAGATCACGGCAGCCACCACTAGGTGAGAGGATGGTGGGAAAATATAAGAGGAATCTGGCTACCTGCGATCTGAATCCACCAAACAGTCTTGGCATTGCTACACCTATGGCAGCCAGATGTGATATGCCTCATGATACTGTGGAAGGGGAAGTACCCAGCCACATTCATAAACTGTTTTTGCCTAAAAATATGAACCCGACTCCAGGCAAGCCTAAAGTGAATCTCTCAGTTTACAGGAAATAAAGGGTTCAGAGGAACAAGTTAGAGACACCTTGAGGTTACAGTCAGCCAAATCCAAAATGTGGGAGATTTGATGGGTTAGATGACTTGATTGCTCTAGTAGATTGATGGCATGAAAGAGGAAAAAAGCAGGAAGGAAAATTGTCACATAAAACAGACATTTAAATGACCTAAAAAAAAAAAAAAAAAAAAAGGACCACTCTAGCTGTTGTGTTGGGAATACATCAGAGCCAGATATGGTGGCATGTGTCTGTAATTCCAGCACTTTGAGAAGCCGAGGCAGGCAGACAGCTTGAGCCCAGGAGTTTGAGACTAGCCTGAGCAACATAGTGAAACCCTGTCTCTACATGGTGGCATATGTCTCTAGTCCCAGCTATTCAGGAGGCTAAGTGGGAGGATCACCTGAGCCGAGGAAGTTGAGGTTGTAGTGAGCTGTGATTGTGCCACTGCCCTCTAGCGTGGGCAATGGAGCAAGACCCTTTCGCAAGGAAAAGAAAATCAGCTGGGCATGGTGGTGCATGTCTGTGGTCCCAGCTGCTCAGGAGGCTGAGGCAGGAAGATTGCTTAAGCCTAGGAGGTGGAGGCTGCAGTGAGACATATTCTTGTCACTGCACTTCAGTCTGGCAGTCTGGGTGACAGAGTGAGACCGTCTCTAAATAAATAAACAAACAAACAAATAAATAAATAAATAATACACCAGAGATGATCAAGGATACAAACAGGGAGAACAGGTAAGAAGCTATTACAAAATTCCAGGCGAGATTTTGCACAAAGATGATAGGAAGATGGTGGCTGGATTCTGGATATCTTTTAAAGATGTAACTGACATCTTTAAAAGATGGGTGGATGAGATGTGAAGTTTTAGAGTCCAAGATGACTTCCAAGTTTTGGCCTAAGCCATTGGAACAATGGAATGCCATTTACTGAAATAGGAAAGACTGCAAGAGAAGCAGGTTTCTGGGAAAAGATTAGGAGGAGCCCAATTCTGGACTCAGTATCTTCAGCCTGATAGGCCTTTTGTATATCCACAAGAAGATATGTTAAGAAGGCAGTGGGATATATTTATGGAATTTTGAGGATGGGGCCAGGAGAGGATGTAAATTTGGAAAATTCAGAAGTTTACAGTAGGCAGACGGTCTGTAAAGCTACTAGTGGGCGGGGTGCAGTGGCTCATGCCTGTAATCGTAGCACTTTGGGAGGCTGAGGCAGGAGGATTGCTTGAGTCCAGGAGTTCAAGACCAGCCTGGACAACATAGACCCCATATTTAAAAAAAAAAAAAAAAAAAATGCTACTAGAGTAGGTGAAAGAATAAAGGGAGGGAGTGTAGCTAGAGGAGAGGTTCCAGGGCTGAGCCTGTGCACAGAGGTGGGAGTCAGCAACAGGAACAAAATAGAGACCTGGACGCATCCCAAAAGCCAGGTGAAGGAAGGAGGAGGGCTTTGTCAGACACTTGTGGCAGGTCGAGGGAGGTAAGGACTAAAGTCTGACCTTTGGGTTGTGCAACATGGAGATTGCTGATGCATTTAATAAGAGCAGTTTTATTCCGTAAGCCCATGGGAGTGGGCTCAAGAAAGCCTGCCTGGGAGACAAAGAGATGAGAAAATAGCTCTTTTGAGGAGCTTGAGACAGAACCAGAGTGTTAACTGGATAGGACAATGTGGTCTAGGGTCTAGAGAGGGGTGTTGCTTTGTTTGTTTGAGAATCACTGGTTTATTCCTTTCTGAATGTATTTTTGTGATGGTCATCTTTCCCCTGCAGCTTTTTATTTTTGACAAATTCCAAATCATAGAAAAGTTAGATACTGTATGTGTTTCACCTATTTTAACCCATTGTGTGTTTTTTTTTTTGTTGTTGTTGTTGTTGTTGTTTGTTTGTTTGGGACGAGGTCTCACTCTGTCACCCAGGCTGGGGTGCAGTGGTGTGATTACTGCTTACTGCAGCCTTGACCTTCCAGGCTTAAGCAACCCTCCCACCTCGGCTTCCCAAGTAGCTGGGACTACAGGCACACACCACCAAACCTGGCTATTTTTTTTGTGGGGGGCGGGGGGTGGGTAGAGACATAGTTTCACCATGTTGCCCAGGCTGGTCTCAAACTCCTGAGCTCAAGCATCCTCCTGCCAAAGTGCTGAGATTACAGGCGTGAGCCACCCTGCCCCGCCAACTCATTGTTAATGTCTTGGCGCATTTGCTTTCTCTAAGTTTATAAATACATTTATGTTGTCTGAGCTGCTCTAAAATTGTAGACATAAAGTTTATGTTAAAGCTTGTATCTCCTAAAAAAGACAGTCTCTCACATAACCATAATATCGTTATTATATTCTAAGAAATTTAATATTGGTATGATAATATGTAACATGCAGTTCAAATTAAAACTGTGTATGGTTGCTATTTTCATTTCCACAGTCTAATCAGAGGTCACCCATTGCTTTTAGTTGTTACATCCTGAAGAGATTTTTTTTTAGGATGGGAAAAATAATAGCACATTTATATGCTGATTTCAAAAGTCTACAGAGAGTGAAAAGTGATGATGCATAAGTGGGCAAACTGCCAAGGCGGTTAACTTGGAGGATGAGATTAGCCACAGTGGGACAGGGTTGGGAAGGCACTGACTTTGGTGGGAACATGGACGGTTTATCCAGAGTAGCAGGAAAGAGAGAAGGCACAGCCTGTTGGCACGTGGCTGGTTAGACATGGTAGACCTTGGGGAAATTTTCTTTTGATTGCTTTTATTTTCTTAGTGAAATAGGAATGATGGTATTCAGTTGAGAGGAAGGAAAGGAGACGTGACAGGCTGAAGAAAAGATATGAAGTGTTTGTCTAAGTCATCTTCATATTAGGACATGCATTATCACTTATTTAAGGGTGTACATTTATAGACCCCTGTAGGCCTTCACAGACCCCTGTAGACCCGTAGCTTCTATAGATAGGTATCCCTGGAACTAATTTGCCTGAAAAAGGGCCTCTTTACTGTAGACTTACTCTGACTTTGGAAGAAAAGGCAGACCCTCACCTATGCCAAATCTGAATTAATTCTATCACCCCTCAGATTATTTCTGCTTCTTGTCTGTTTGGTATTTTTTGTTTGTTTGTTTGTTTTGTTTTGTTTTGTTTTTGAGATGGAGTCTCACCCTGTTGCCCAGGCTGGGGTGCAATGGCAGGATCTCGGCTCACTACAACCTCTGCCTCCTGGATTCAAGTGATTCTTTTGCCTCAGCCTCCTAAGTAGCTGGAATTACAGGCGTGTACCACCACTCCCGGCTAATTTTTTTGTATCTTTAGTAGAGACGGGGTTTTACCATGTTGGTCAGGCTGGTCTCAAACTCCTGACCTCCTGATCCACCCACCTTAGCCTCCCAAAGTGCTGGGATTACAGGCGTGAGTCACTGCACTTGACCCTTTTTTTGTTTTGTTTTGAGATTGAGGTTCGTTCTTATTGCCCAGGCTGGCACAATCTTGGCTCACTGCAACCTTCACCTCCCAGGTTCAAGCGATCGTCCTGCCTCAGCCTCCCGAGTAGCTGGGATTACAGGCACCTGCCACTATGCCCAGCTGATTTTTTGTATTTTTAGTAGAGATGGGACTTCACCATGTTGGGCAGGCTGGTCTTGAACTCCTGACCTCAGGTGATCTACCTACCTCAACCTTCCAAAGTGCTGGGATTAGAAATGTCAGCCACTGTGCCCGGCATCTGTTTGTTGATTTTCTTCTTCTTTTCTTCTTCTTTTTTTTTTAAATCCAGAAAAAAATTACTTTCTGAAAGCAGCATGTCCCTCTTAAAGACCCTCTTACCCCTCAATCCCATAGCTTATGATCCTGCTAGGGGATTGCCACTTTCTTGTTTCATTTTTAGCCTTTCCAGTGTGTGTGTCTGTTTATCTTTTTTCCCTCTTCGCCTGTACTTCACCCTGTTTTCCTGTTTCTCCTTTGACTGCTGCCTCTTCTCTGTTTTTCAGGCTTGGTCACAATGGTGGGAGCAGCTCTTATATGTCCAGAAGGAGAAACAAAAGGTTGCCTCTGCAGTGAAGCACCACCAGCACTGGCAAAAGCGGAGGTTTCTGAAGGCCTGGCTTGAATACCTGCAAGTCCGCAGAGTAAAGAGACAGCAGAATGGTGAGTAGGAAGCCTGAGGCTCTCGAGACACAGAGTCTGGTCACAGTTTCCACTCTCCTGCTGCCAGTGGTACTGTACTGAGAAGTAATATAATGGTGTTACTCCAGAAATGTTGGTAAAAGGAGATTGAGGAGGAAAATACATCATCCTTGAATCACATTTATTTCCCTTTGGCTTTTTATTTATATCTATTGTAGATAGATAGGCTTTTTTTGTTTTGTTTTGTTTTGTTTTGCTTTTTTGAGAGAGAGTTTTGTTCTTGTTGCCCAGGCTGGAGTGCAGTGGCACGATCTTAGCTCACTGCAACTTCTGCTTCCCCGGTTCAAGCAATTCTTCTGTCTCAGCCTCCTGAGTAGCTGGGATTACAGGTGCCCGCCACCTCGCCCAGCTAATTTTTGTATTTTTAGTAGAGGTGGGGTTTCATCACCTTGGCCGGGCTGGTCTCAAACTCCTGACCTCAGGTGATCCACCTGCCTTGGCCTTCCATAGTGCTGGGATTACAGGTGTGAGCCACTGCACCCGGCCTCTTTTATATATATATTATGTTAATAACCTATGGTTTTATATCTTTTTCCACACAGTTAACAGTTTTCTACATCTTAAGTATTTGTCATAAATGTTATTTTTTAACAACTGTTCATATTTTATAGGATGGCTTACCTTAATATACTTAACCATTCTCCTATATATATATATTTTTTTTTTGAGATGGAGTTTCGCCCTTGTTACACATGCTGGAGTGCAATGGCGCGATCTTGGCTCACCGCAACCTCCGCCTCCTGGGTTCAGGCAATTCTCCTGCCTCAGCCTCCTGAGTAGCTGGGATTACAAGCACGCGCCACCATGCCCAGCTAATGTTTTTGTATTTTTAGT